TCCCCTCAGCCACAGCTTATTGTGATCCACACAGTCAAAAGCCTTTGCATAGTCAATGAAGCACAGATAGACATTCTTCTGGTATTCTTTGCTTTCTGCTAAGATCCATCTAACATGGGCTATACTATCCCTAGTACCACGACCTCTTCTAAATCCAGCCTGCACATCTGGCAGTTCTCTGTTGATGTATTGTTGCAAGCGTTTTTGGATAATTTTCAGCAGAATCTTGCTTGCATGTGATATCAGTGATATGGTTCAATAATTTCCACACTCTTTTGGGTCTCCTCTCTTTGTAATGGGAACAAATATCAATCTCTTCCAATCAGTTGGTTAGCTGGCTGTTCTCCAGATTTCCTGGCACAACTTAGTGAGCACATCCAGGGCAGCGTCTGTTTTTTGAAATAAATCAATTGGTATGCTATCAACTCCTGGAGCCTTGTTTTTTTCCAGTTCCTTCAGAGCAACTTGAACTTCCTCCTTCATCACCAAGGCTCTTGCTCATATGTCATTTCATGAAATTCCTCTGTGCCAGCCAATTCCTTCTGATACAGTCACTCTGTGTATTCCTTCCATCTTCTCTTGATACTTCCTGGATCATTTAACACTCTACCCAGACTATCTTTAAGTATTACCACCGTGGCTTGAATTTGTTTTTCAGCTCCGTCAGCTTAAGAAACGCTGAGTGAGTTCGGCCCTTTTGATTTTCTGACTCCAGCTCTCTGCACATTTCATTACAGTATCTTGCTTTGTTTCCCCAAGTTGCCTTTTGAAATTTTCTGTTCAGTTCTTTGATTTCTTGGTTTCTTCGTTTAGCTTTGGCTTCTCGGCGCTCTAATGCAATATTCAGAGTCTCGTCTGACATCCATTTTGGTCTTTTCTTCTTCATCAGCCTTTGTAATGATCTTTTGCACTCTTCATGGACAGTTTTCTTGATATCCTCCCAGAGCTCATTTGGCCTACGCTCATTGGTGCTCAAGGCCTCAAACCTGTTCCTGGGATGGTTTTGAAATTCGAGTGGCACAGACTTAAGGTCAAGTCTTGGTTCCCATGGACTTGATTTAATTTTCCTCAGCTTCAGCTTGAACTTGCATATGAGTAGTTGGCGGTCTGTCCCACATTCAGCACCTGGCCTGATTTTCACTGCTGACATTGAGCTTCTCCAGCGAGTCTTTCCACACATGTAATCGATTTGATTACTATGCATATTATAGTTCAGCAATACAGACTGTAATTGGAGTGTGGCAGGGCGACTTCTTTGGGGGGAAGTCATGACAGTGAGCTGGCTGGCCTTTCACCCTGGTCTCTGTATTGAGGTGCAGATGCTGCACCCCTAGTTTGGTTGTGCTCCCCTGTAACCCACATGTGAACATGGCTGTGCCCACAGTCCACTCGCCGCCCTGCTGAGCTGCACCTCGTCCGGGGGAACCATGGGGACTCAGCTAGGCAGGAGCTTCCCTGGGGGGGTGGCTGCCGGGGCTGGGGTCCGGTTCCCCTTCCTCTGTCAGTCAGCTTGCTTTTCTCGTCCTTTCCTCCCTTTCAGTCTCTAGAAGAAAGGGCAGCTAGGCTCCTGTCTCACGGATCTGAGATTTTCTGGAAACAGTGGAGATGGTGTTTTCATCCACGGTTGCTTCACACCCCAGGGCTGTGAGCCCCCAAAACTGTGTCCCTCAGTCCCTCTCAGAGCTTAGAACTAACCTGCGCCTCAGTTTCCAGCAAAACAACTAAGACCAGATGCACTTCTGCTGCGTTGGTGCCAACCCCGTGGCCTGGTGGCTCCCCTGCCGTGGTCGCTGGCGGTGACCTCTGTAGAGGAACTGGCAGCGGGCGCTGCTGGCCTCCCGGTGGGCAGTCGGACAAGCCCTCCATGAAGACAGGCCGGAAAACTGCTGTGCAGATCTGTGCAGACGAAGGGACCAGCTTGTGTTGCCACTGACAGCACACTTGGGGACTGATAACGGGGTGGCCGTGGCTTGGGGAGACCGACGCCCCCTGACCTTTCTCTTAGAGGAAGAGCCTGGTTGCTTGTGAGGCCGCGTCTGCCGCCTTATGGTGAAGGCTTCCTCGCTGTCCATCTTGAAAGCTGTTTCTGTGCTCTTTGCCCCAGTGTGCCCACGGGAACCTCGAAGACCCCAAAAGTGTAACGCATCATAAACTAATACACGCCGCCTCGGCGAGGGTGCTCAGTGACAGCAAGTCCATCTCGGAAGAGCGTGTTGAAGACAGAGGTGAGGAAGCAACACCCGGCTCGCCGCCACCCGGTCCCCAAGCACCTGGCCCCCCGGTCCCCGGACTCCTGCCCCCTGGGCCCCGCCGCCCGGCCCCTCAACACCTGGTCCCCTGCCTCCTGGGTCCACCTCCCCAGCCGCAGTCCCCTACCGTCTGGTTCCCCCTGCCCAGCCCCGGGTCAGCGCCCCGCTGTCAGAGGAAGCTGGGTCAACAATGTGTTCTTTCTCCTGTGCTTAGAAAAGCGCTTACATTTTCAGGTGTTAGTCAAAGACACTAGAAAGCAGAACTGAGCAAACAGGAACAGCAGGGCCTCAGGGAAGCTTAGGGCAGCCCTGGCTTTTGGTGCTGTGGCTGCCAAAACCAGGGGGTGCTGGAGGGGCCCAGGCGGTCCCGCTCCCCACATCTGCTGGAAGTGCTGTGTCCGAGGGAGGCGCACTTTCTGCCCTGCGTCTCACAGGGTGGTTTTCTCTCAGATGCCTCCAGCTGTCTGTCCTGTTGCTACCTGAGGGGTGGTGGGTGCCCGGCATTGTGACCCCTGCGTCAGCACCAGCCGTGGGGGCTCCCTGGTGGGATTCTCTCTTCACGCACCTGCATGGCTGTGCCTGAGACTCGGCAGGGAGCCCTGGCCATCTGCTTTTGGAGCTGGGCCCTGGAGCCCTCTGGGTGGCCGTGGTTGGCTTCACGGTGATCTCGGCCTGTTCTGGGGGCTCCATAAGTGGGGGCTGACTCAGTGACAGCAGCCCAAGGTGTCCGCTCAAAGGTTCAGACCGAGCGCTGGACCTCACGGGCCTCAGAGCCGAGCCAGGAGAGCGGTGCCCTCTGCCTGGGTGGCTCTGGTCACCGGTCACTGGCACTGAGTTCCTGCCCGGAGCCTCTGCTGTAGGTGCCTTGTGTGCCCTGTGCTCGGTGTGGAGGTCGGGCTGAGCTCAGGGCCGTTGCTCAGACCTCGGGTTAGTGGAGATCCCAAGAGAGCAGCACCTTCGTCCCCAGGTCACCTCGCGTCCTGTTGCTGTGAACCACCCTGACCAGCTTGGTGGACACGTGCTTGTTTCTTCTAGATGTTTTGTTGCTCGTGAGGAAGCGGACCCCGGCTCCACTTCCCAAGATGGCTGAGGTGTCAGCAGAGGAGAAGGTAGGTTTCCTGCTCTGTCCGCAGAAGCTTCCTGCTGGAGAGAACCATGGCCCCTGCCCCTACCCGGGCTGGGGCTGGCACCCTTCGTGGGTGCCCTTCAAGTCACAGCCTCCCCCATGAGCTGAGGTCAAACAGGACCCCCACAGAACAGTGGGGGGGGCAGCCCTGGGGGATGGACAGCCCAGGGGAGGCAAAGGGTGGGGGTACAGCTCGGGGCAGGGATAGCCTCATGGTAGAGGCCACGCCCTCCTGTTTGTCACCTAGAACTTTCCCTGAGCCCCTGTCTGGTGTTAGGGCCTAAGTCCTCAGCTACGGACTGAGAGGCCTCGCTTTGCCTGCCCGCCACCCCACAGGAGGCGGACTAGGCAGCCAGTGTCCCAAGGGTGATGGCCTGAGGGCCAGGGGCAGCTCCTTGCGGTCCTGCAGGGTCACTGTGGGTTGGAATCGACTTGGTGGCTCTATGTTTGGTTTGCAATAACCAGGTGGGTGGATCCTTTTGGTGCCATTGAGTGGGCTGTGACGCCACGTGAGTGACCTGTGAGGGGGGGTCTGCGTCCTGCCCGCTCCCGCACACGCCTCAGTGTCTCTGTCTGCCTGGGCCCATGGTGGTCAGCACTGTCAGGCCATCCTGTCGGCGGTCTTCCTGTCTTTGACCCCTTTCCCTGCCCGATGTCTTTTTCCAAGGACACGCCCCGTGACTGAGTGGAAGCCTCAGTGCCCCACCCCCGCCCCAGCGAGCACCTGGCTCCACATGTCTGCTTTCAGTCTGTAGATGGCCAGCGTCCTTCTCCAGCAACACACGTCAGAGGCGTCAGCCCGTGTCAGCCTTCTTCATTGTCCCCGGCAGAAGTGTAGGCAGCAGCTGACGAGGCGTGGTGCACGCTAGTCTTTGAACTGACATCACTGGATCACTGGGACCTTTGTTGCCTGGTGACGGCCTCAGGACCGACCGCTCTTCAGTAGCTAGTGAAGCCGGGCGTGGGGCAGAGACGGGGCAGATGCTTGGTCCCCCGAGGACCAGACCCGGGACAGAGAAGTGCTGCAGTCAAATTCGGGGTCATCCCTGCCCTCACGCTGTCGTGCGTGGACACGGGAGGCTGGGCTCTGATGAGGTGATTGTGGGTCTCGTCTGGGATGAGCGACGCAGGCATGCCTGTGTCTGTCTGTGACCTTACCTGCAGCTCCACCTGGCCAGGGCATGGGCACGCTGCCCCGCATGGCAGCCTTGCACACATCTGGGCTTGCCTCCCAGACCGAGTCAGGCAGTTTCTGAGAACTACTGGGTAGGGACAGGCACCCCAGGTTACTGCTTGATGTTGACAGTCAAACAACCCAGTCTGTCACCCGGGGACTGCTGCCTCCTGGACATGGGACACAGGGCCCTGTCTTCACACACGTGCAGCCTGAGATGCTTCTGCGTGACAATCCCCATGTGTTAGCCTGTGTGTGAGGCTGTCTTGGTCTGATTGAAGAGGAGGTGAGATGTTCTGCCCCCAGCCACCTCGGCACCTCACCAGCCTCCCGTCCTCCTGTCCTCCCATCTGCCTGGGCCACCTCGGCACCTCACCAGCCTCCTGTCTGCCCGGGCCACCTCTACCCCTGTCATCACCTTGCCCTGTTTCTTCTCGATGGGCTGGGCCGCTGCTGCTGAGTTCCTCCTGGTCACCGGCTGCCCCTCTTCAAGCGTGAGGCTGCTCTGTGCTGCCCGGTCTCCCTCGCTCTGCCCTTCCACCTTGGTGAGATCAGGAGGTCGTTAGAGAGGCGTTCCTCTCCTCTGTTAGCAGGGCTACGCTAGGCCTGACTTGTGGACTGAATCTAGATAGAATCCTCTTGTCAGGAGATGAACAGGCCCTCCCACAGCGACAGCTCCGTGGGGCCAGTGCTGGTGGAGGTTGGAGCGAGTCGGCCGTCCACACCGTGGCCATAGGTTTGCTTGGCCTTTTCTTTAAGTCTTTTTCAATCGTGGTTTGAATGATTTTTCTCTTTACTGTCCTTGTGTGCTGTTTCCCAGCGTGAAGGAGCACTCACAGCGTAGTGTCCTCCCCCCTTCCTGGTGATTCTCATCTCCTTGGGTCCCTTCTTGCTATCCCGTCCCCTAGACTCTCCTGCAGGCCAGTGTTGCTCGTGGCCTCCAGGGCTGAGTGTCCCCTGCAAAGTGTCCCCTCCAGGCCTGCCTGCCGTTGGACTGAATGCTGGGTCACACGGGACAAGCCTGGCTTGGGCTCCACAGGCAGCCGGGGCTCTCGGGTGGGTCCATAACTGGGTGGGCCAGGATGATTGGCCCCTTGCTTTGAAGTTTGCTCCACATTTTCCTCCAGTGAGTTTGCTCTTTGATGGTTTTTCTTTAGGTAACTTTTATCTTTCTGTGAACTTAATTATCACTTCGTTGTTTTGCTCTTTGCATCATTTTCTTTAGGAATATCTCAAGATTTCCCCCAGATTTGTGAATTTAAGAGAGTTGATAGGCCCTGTGGAAGCCGTCCCGTTTCAGGCTGGCTGTCACGTCCTCCCCTGGACATTCTCTCCAGGCGCCCCGCCTTGCACCCCTACCTTGTTTGCCTGCCAGCCGGCCGCTTGGCCAGGCTGGTCAGACTCGCCTGTGTGGGTGCCATCTAAGTTCATGTCAGCTTTCTCTCCACCTTTGCCGGAGTGGGGGCTGTCCAAACCTGCACTGGACTGTCCACCTTCACCACTGGTGACCACCAGTGTGGGTAACATCTCAAGTCCATGTGAACTTTCTGCTCAGTCAGGACTATGTACCTCCACCCGGGTGGCGCCGTCTAAACCTCTGTCAGCTTTCGGGTGGGGCCATCCAGCTCACCTTGCGCGGGCACTGTCTCGAGGCGGTGCCAGTTTTCTGCTCGCCCAGGACTGTCTGTCTGTGCCTGGGTGGGTTGGTCTGCACCCACGTCAGCTTTCTGCCCACCTCACCTGGCTGAGTGCTGTCCCGGGTCAGCTTTCAGCTTGGCTGGCACTGTCCACCTTCCCCTGCCTGGGTGCTGTCTAAGCCCTGTCACCTCCCTGCTGCCTCCTGGTAAATGGCCCCCAGTGTAGTGGTGAGAACTTTTGTTCTGCTTCTAGAGGTCACCAGGCTTTGGGCTGGCTGGCTTCTCTGCTCCAGATGTTAAGGGCTCTCTAAGGGAGGGTCTGTCCCTCAGGGCTGCTCATGTCCAGCATGGCCCCGTGATGGCCCGGGGAACACGGTGCGTCCGGTCCTCTGCCCTCTGAGGGCCCTGCTGCCCACACCCACAGCTCCTGCTCCCAGAACGCGTGGGGACAGCCTTCGCCGCTGTGGCCCACCTGCTGACCTGGAGTATTTCCCTGTTCACGCCCTTGTGTGAGATGCTCACTGAGAGGTTGGCACTGCCACCAGCCGCCATAGCAGCCAGCCAGCCTCCGTAGAGCCCCCAGGCCTGGGACCCACGAGGGCCAGTGTCCTCCCTCGTGCTGCCTGTCACAGTGCCCTCGGGGCTCCGCTCATGTTTGCCCCTCGTCCCATAGAAAAAGCAAGAACAGAAAGCGCCGGACAGAGATGCTATTTTCCGGGCCACAGCCGACCTGCCCTCCTACAACATGGACCGCGCTGTGGTGCAGACCAGCATGCGAGACGTGAGTGCCGCCGGCCGGCCCCTGACTTACTCCCCAGCACGGCCTTGGGGGGGCCGGGGGGTCGGGGGGCCCTTCAGGAGAGGGGTCGTGTGGCAGTGGAAGCTGTGCATCACTTTCGGAAGGAAAGCTGCCAGCTCACAAGGATGGGCACTGGGGTGCGCCTAGCGTCACGTGACAGGGGGCCTTGCTTTAGATGGAGGGCTGGTTGGCCTCGTCAGATAGCAGTGTCCTGAGCCCTGACCATCTCAGAGCCCTTCAGTGTCAGTCTCCTGTCCCCTCCCCGAGCTGTCTTGGCCCCCACACACGCCTGGCTGTCTCGGTCACTCCCCAACTATCTCAGCACCCCTGAGGTTTGCATGGTGTGCCTCCACGCTGTCGCAGGCTGCTTAGTGTTCGCCCCCACCCTGGCTGTCTAGGTCGTCCCCCTCCAGCTGGCTCGGTCCCCACCCCCCGCGGCTGTCTCAGCACCCCTTGATTTGCATGGTGTGCCTGCTAAGTGTCTCAGGGCCGGTGTCTGTAGCCCTCTGTGGCCTCACCCTGCTGGTGACTCCTCTTTCCCCGTCGGTGGGAGCTGGCCCTTGGAGGGCATGGTTTTTCTAAGAGGGTGGACGTGTCCACCTTCAGCCCAGCTGCTGGCTGGGCATCTTCTCTGTCAGCAGAGGGCTGAGTGCCAAACTGCCAGTCCCCTTGCTGGACAGGCCACAGGCCCCTCATCTGCACGGCTCCAGCAGTTATTTTACAGGGGTCAAAGCTGGAAATGCCGGTCACATCAGAGCAGTTCAGCCACCATGCTGCGCCCCGGTGTCCGCCGAGGCGCCTGTGCTGACCGCCCTCCAGGACCGCCCCCGGCCTGGCCTGTGTGCTCAGCCCCCGCTCCTTCCTGGCTGACCTGGCCACTCTCGAGTGAAAGGACGTGGGGCCCCTGAGCTTGGGCTGAGCGTCAGCCGCAGGCGGTGCACTCACTGTGCGTCTGAGAAGCCCCTCGCCGTCTTTCCTCTCCCTGCAGTTCCAGACCGAGCTCCGCAAGATCTTAGTGTCTCTCATCGAGGTGGCCCAGAAACTGCTGGCACTGAACCCCGACGCTGTGGAGTTGTTTAAGAAGGCGAATGGTATGTGCCCTGGCGCGCTGTGGAGGCAGAGTGCTTGGGGAATGCTGCAGTTCCCAGTGTGCAGAAACCTTCCTGGGTGTGTGTTGTGTAGGGATGGAAGGTCGCCACGCTGGACACCTGCCCGCGGGGCCACCCCGGGACACCGGCGTGGTGCCTGGGGGCTGGGAAGCCCCAGTGCCCGAGGGCGAGTGGACCTATGTCCGTCATTCCTCACCTACGGCCATGCTTCACCTTGCAGGGGTTTATAGTAACTGCTGGAAGCAGGCACAGGCCGCCGTGGAGCTCGGAGCCCACACGTTGAGTGGGGCTGCCTGAGGCCCCTCAGGCCACTTCCTGTCTCTTGCTTTAGCCATGCTGGACGAGGACGACGAGGAGCGAGTGGACGAGGCTGCCCTGCGACAGCTCACGGAGATGGGCTTCCCCGAGACCAGAGCCATGAAGGCCCTGCGGCTGAACCAGTGCGTCCACGCCCCCACCAAGGACATTCCTGGGGGGCCTGGGCTCAGGGTCAGAATGGTCACGCTGCTGGCCCTTCACGAGAACAGGGGTGGACGCAGACCTTGTCTGTCTGTTGGTCTCTGGCAGCAAGAACGCCAAGGGGCAGGTCTGACACTGAGAGGACCAGACCCCCCTGTGGTTTGGGTCGCTTTTACTCAAGCCGGGAGCTTGCTGTGACCCTCCTGTGCCTGAGTGTCCCTCTGGGACCTGAGCTCACGTGGTGGTCAGGGTCAGTGTCTCGGCCAGGCCCGTGGTTTTTCTTGCCTGGCAGAAGTGTCTGCGGGGATTGCGGGACCTGTGGGTGCTGCGTCCAGCCGGGCACTGCGCAGCGTCCGTGGACAACCTGCTTGTTTCTGTGCAGCATGTCGGTGACACAGGCCATGGAGTGGCTCATCGAGCGCGCGGAGGACCCCACCATTGACTCACCCCTCCCAGGCCAGGCCTCGTCAGGCAGCACAGGGGCCGCGGCCGCCCCAGCGTCCTCTCCCGCCCCCGAGGCCTCCCCAGTTCCCTGTACCTCTGCCGAGGTATCCGTGGGGACCAGCGCGGCCGATGAGGAGGCCAGGGATGAGCTGACGGACGTCTTCAAAAAGATCCGCAGGAAAAGGGAGTTCCGAGCGGACGCACGGGTAGGTGCTGCTGTCCACCCGTGGCTGTAGGCACGACTGACCGCCCGAGACTGTGTGGGCACGACTGACCTCCTGAGGCTGTGGGGACGACTGACACAGGTGCTGTGGACTCACAGACAAGCCTGCGGCCCCTGGGTACCAGCCTATGCTCGTGTGATCCCTGCTGAAAGTATTCTTCTGGTGGCCAGTGGCCAGCCTGGTGTCTCTGGTGTCCTGTGAGCGACCACCCCTCAGGGGCAGGCAGGGCTGAGTTTAGAGGGCACCCTGCATGGCAGCCTGCGTTGTGCTGACCCCTTCCACCGTGGCGTCTGCGTGACCCAAGGCCCCGAGGTCTGGTGCCCTCTGAGACGTGGCCACCTGGCCAGCCTCTGTGGTCACCGTGGCCTCATTCCTGACGTCACTTCTTTGGAGCCCTGGTGCTGTGAGTGCCTCAGCCCTCGGCTGCTGAGGCCCGAGGTTCGCGTCCCCCTGAACCTCAGAAGAAGGCCAGGCTGACTGCTCCCATGACCCCAGCACACTACTGCTCTGACACGTGGGGTACTGTGTCCTGGGGTCATGGCTCCTGCCTTCCTAGATGTCACGACGTGTCAGTGCAGAGTACCGGGCTGGGGGCCCTCACTCCTGATCTCGCTGTATTCTGGATTGTTCTCAGCTTCACCTGTTGGCACCCATTTGGCCTGAGTTGTCCCTAGGGCTCTGTTACGGAGACGAGGATGAGGATGGCTGGACCGAGTCCAGGGCGGACTTTGCGGCCTCTGTTCAGGCCACCGTCTTGGATGGACAAGGCAGAGGGAGCGTGGAGTTTGGATGTGTGGAGGCGTCTCCCCCTGCTGCCCACTGACAAGCACGTGGGGGACAGGAGCTTTCTCCAGGGGAGGGGAGGAGTCAGTCTCTGGACTGAGATGGAAGTGATGAGGCAATGGTCTCACTGTAAGGGATGAAGAGACCGTGCTGTCCTGGGGCCAGGGGTCACTGTGTGCTGTGGGGGGCACAGCTGTGTGGCACACTCGGCCCCCTTGTCTGCTGACTGAAGCCTGAAGCCCTGGAGTCCAGCCGCAGGGGATGCATGGGAGGTGATGGACAGAGGACACTGCGCCTGCGTGGACTACTCGGCAGTCTGGTCCCAGGGTATTGACCGTGCTGTTCTCGGAGTCTTGTGTGATGTCTCCCTAGTGGTCACCTGGGAAATCATTTCCTGTGACTGCGTGGGGTGTGTCCTGCTAGAGCACGTGCAGTCTTCCCTTCCGGCTGCAGCCACCTGCCCGGTCACCAGCAGCTCGTCTGAGCTGGACCCGAGCAGTGCAAGGGGGCAATGAGCAGTGCTGGGGGTGCACGGTGTCTGCCTCACAGGACTAAAGGTGCCTTGCTCGCCTGCAGCGCTGACCCGAGAGCTGGCACTGCAGCCGTCGGTGCGGTCAGGTGAGGGGTGTGGTGTCCATCCGTGAGGTCATTTGAAGCTGTTGATCCACGTCATCAAGTAGGGGGTTTGCGCCATCACTGTGGTCAAGTGAAGGTGATGTGGTGTGTCCATGCAGTCAGGGGAAGGGTGTTTTCCATTCACGCCCTCAGGTCAGGGTTTCGCTCTGGCGCAGTGTCCATGTGGTCAGACAAAGGGTGTTTTCCACCCATGTGGTCAGGTTAAGGGGGTATTCCATCTTTGTGGTCAGGAGAAGGTGTTGTAGCAAAGGTGTTGGTCTGTCTGTGAGGTCGGCAAAGCTGTTGGTCTCTCCGTGAGGTCAGCGAAGGTGTTGGTTTATCCGTGAGGTCAGCGAAGCTGTTGGTTTATCCGTGAGGTCAGCGAAGGTGTTGGTCTGTCTGTGAGGTCGGCGAAGGTGCTGACCTGTTATCTGGTTTAGTCCTGCAGATGCCTCTCCTCCACAGACACAGTGACCAAGGGCCTACTTCCTTTGCGCTGAAAAACAATGTGTGTTTGCAGCAAAATCTTGAACTTATCCCATGTTTGCTTAAAAAACTTATTTTCATTTCAGTTATTAAAAGGATAAAATCTGAGCAAGCCTTACTTTTTTCTGAGTCACTATGACATTTGATGTGAATGTAAACTCTCTTGGTGCCATGTCCTTTGTGACCTAGGCCGTCATGTCCCTGATGGAGATGGGCTTTGATGAGAAGGAGGTGATTGATGCCCTGCGTGTCAACAACAACCAGCAGGCGGCCGCTGTGAGTACATGCGCCTGCCTGGAGCCGCACCCCTGTCCTTCCTGTGAGGGGAGCCCCTCACCGTCCTGGGACCAGACCCCTGTCCTTCCTGTTGGGGGAGCCCCTCACCATCCTGGGACCAGACCCCTGTCCTTCCTGTTGGGGGAGCCCCTCACCGTCCTGGGACCAGACCCCTGTCCTTCCTGTTGGGGGAGCCCCTCACCGTCCTGGGACCAGACCCCTGTCCTTCCTGTGAGGGGAGCCCCTCACCGTCCTGGGGCCGCACCCCTGTCCTTCCTGTGGGGGGGGACATGGTCCTGGGGGCCCGCACACCTGTCTTTCCCATGCAGGGGGCCGTGTGGTTCTGGGGGGCACACCTCTGTCCTTTGTGGGGTGAGGACCCGCATGATCCTGGGGGCTGCACACCCGTCCTTTCCGTGGAGGGAGAGCTAAGGCAGCCTGTATTTGAAGAGCATTTGCTTGGCTGAGAAAGTTCTGGGCTTTGTCTTCCTGAGCTAGTGTCCTTCACGTATCCATCTTGCATTCTGGTCAGTTTGTGTCTTTGTGGGCTCCTGTTCTCTGAGCTCGCACAGGCCCTGAGGGTCATTGGAGATGCACTTACAGACCATGATCTGCTCACGCTGCTGGGTCTGGCGTGGTGTCTCCACCCTCCTGAGAACTGCACCTCGGAAACATTCTGGGATCAGTGATCATCCCGGCTCTCTGTGTGGAGCGCGCGGAGTCACAGAGCTTAGGGGTCAGGTGCAGGTCTGCTGCGGTGGCCAGCTCGATCACCCAAGGTGGTGGCCACTTCATTCAGATCTGTTATGTCCCTATCTGTGGTCTTTGGGACTCAAGAAGCCCTGAAGGTTCAGGCGCGGTTTAGGATGCTGGCCTGAGCCTGCCTGGGTTGGGGAGGTAGTGTTCTAGGGCCCCTGACACTCGACACTCTTGTGTTTGCAGTGTGAGTGGCTGCTAGGAGACCGGAAGCCCTCCCCGGAGGAACTGGACAAGGGCATGGACCCTGACAGCCCCCTCTTCCAAGCCATCCTGGACAACCCCGTGGTGCAGCTGGGTCTGACCAACCCTAAGACACTGCTGGGTATGTATGTGCCCCTCGCAGCTCGGGGGCGGGCAGCCAGAGGCCGCTGACCCTCGACAGACGTGTGCTGGAGGCAGTGTGGGGGCTGGGCGTGTGCCCACATCACATCCGCCTCGTGCCTGTGAGGCCCTGACCTGTCCTTGCCTGAGAGCTGTGGTGGCAGCTCACTCGGGTGCACGGGTGTGGACAGGGCACAGGCTCCCTGTCTGGGGACATGGGAGTCACATCTCCTCTGGTGGCCGTGTGGGCTCCTGGTCATGAGAAGTGCACATGAGTGCTGGGCACTGACTCCTGCTGTCCATGTGGGCGATGCCCAGTATGTTCTGGTGCATGGACACTCAGGGACAGTGGTCCCACAGGCTGCTCTGGACTGTGGTCCAGTAAACACATCTCCAGATCCCCTTCACAGGCTGCTGGGCAGGTGGGCCTGGTGCCCATCAAAGCTGGCCAAACGTGTCATCCCACCGGGGCCCAGCTCCTTGTGCCCACTGACCCTTCCGTGCGTGTTTACTGTGGGGGGAGCCACAGCACTTGCCTTTCACAGCAGAGCCTGCCCAGCACCGAGCTTTCTAGGCTCGTCCAAGTGTGGCCTGGGCCTGCGCCTCACTGTGGGCCTGCGTCCGACTGTGGGCCTGCATCCGACTGAGGGCCTGCGCCTCGCTGTGGGCCTGCATCCAACTGAGGGCCTGCGCCTCGCTGTGGGCCCACGTCCGGCTGTGGGCTGGGGTCTCGCTGCTTTACGTCACTGCATGACTAAGTGTGGGTTAGTCCGCGTTCTGCGTGTAGGTGAACAGTGCTGCTTATCACACAAATGGGTTAGTCCATGCTCTGTGGGTACAGATAAACGATGTTGTGTTTACCCCCCCGAGTGTGGACTTAGTCCTGCTGGCCGTGTGTGTTCTCATGGTGGACATCAGGATGATGGTTCTTACCCATGTCTCCGGCGAGCACCTTGCAGCCGGGTCCGGCCTGTGTTCCCGCAGGCTCGCGGAGTGCATACCAGCAGTGAACGACTGGGCATGGGGAGATCTGTGTCCTGTCTCAAGGGTCCACCAAGCTCTTCCCACAGCGGGTGCACTGTTGCCATTACACAGCACAGGAGGCTGTCAACTTGTCTGCCAAGCACTGTGCTCACTGGAGGGTGGGACCTGCAGGAGAAAGTGCTCCTTCCACGGACCAGCCAGCTGTGACTTCCTGTTGATGCACCTCCAGCCCTCCAGTGCACCCCTGTCCTTGGGAACTCGCCGTGGCGTTTGCAGGGAGGGGCCAGTCCCTCAGCATTTGACGCCCTCCTTCCTACGCCTGTGTCTCCTCATGCTCATGGACACCGGGCTGGGTTTCTCTTCATTCCCTTGCTGGCTTTGTGAGCTGAGAGTAGAGGGTTTAAACAGAACAGTCCTGGGCTTGGATAGGTACTGTCTGTGGCACTCAGGCTTTGGTCCCAGGCCTCTTTGAGCCCAGATGTTGTCCAGTCCTGCGCTGTCCACAAAGCCCATGGCCAGAGACCCTTTCTTTGACAGCCTTCAGTGACTTGACCAGCACATCCCGGGTGAGGCTGTACCTGTGAGGGGAGTGGCGTCTTCCACGTGTGCCCTCCGCAGCCGTGCTGTGCCTGCACTGCTCAGCCTTTGGTCCAAAGACGCCTCTCCTTTTGGGGGAATCTCTTTTTTGCAGGTTTATAAATCAGAGTTCTTTCGTTTGAAGACAGCTTCAGTTAAGCGTTAAGTCACCTCTGAGAATCCCCTCATTCTATGGTCCATCCTAGCTGTGTGCTGAGCAGATACCCAAGGAGCTGCCGTGCGTGACGGAGAATGCGGCCTCAGTGTTGGAGGAAGGCTTGTCAGCAACCTGCTATGTGGGTGACACAGTCTTGCTCGGTGAAAATGACCAAGATTGAAGAAGATCTTATCTGATAAAGGTCAGAGACTGTGGCTTCAGTATGAATTACACCCTGACACCAAGAAAAGAGAAATTCTGGACCAGTCGTCAACTTTATGGCCAATGGAGGAGATGACGTCCAGGATTTCTTTTTTTCTGGGACCATAATCAACCCCCGTGGACACAGCCATCAAGAAATGAAATGGTATATTGCAGTGGGCGCGTGTGACGCTGAAGAGCAAGGATGGCACTGTGCAAACTAAGGTGTGCCTGACCTAAGTCACCTCACAGGCGTGTGAAAGTTGGACAGTGACTGAAGATTCGAGGACAGTTGACACCATGGCTGGCCAGGGGAACGGATGCTTCTGTCCTGGGGAAGTGGAGCCGGCGTGACCCTTGGAGGCCTGGACAGCAAGACTTCTCTCCCACGCTGGTGTGCTGTCAGGAGGGCCATGGAGTCAGAGGCAGCACACCCTGCTTAGGAACTTAGAGGGAAGGAAGGGCTCTGGGAGGATAGACAGGTGAGGGTCTGCGGTGATGGCTCCAGCTCGGTGGGGCCAGGAGGGTGACTGGCACAGGACGCCGCTCTGCAGGGGAGTCGGTGTAAAGGCCCCCGAAGCAATGCATGGGCATTAGAGTGTCCAGTCTGACCTGACACCTCTGTGTCTGGCCCTTCTGCACATGGTGGGACACGCATTCCCAGCCACTACATTTTGTGCGGTTCCTGGTGTCTGTGATGCACCAGGTTGCAGTTTGGTCTCTCTACCCCTTAGAGCTGACTCAGTCACATCCACCAGCTGGACAGTGAGAGCGGTCATGTCCACGAGCTGGACATGCGGAAAGTGGGAGGGTGCTGTGGGGGTGCTCCGTGTGTGTGCGTGTGTGCAGGGGCTCAGGCCCATGAAGGGGACCGTGGTCACGTGCATAAGTGTGTGTCAGGTGAGTGAGGCCCGTGGAGAGGACAGTGGCTGTGTGAGTTGGGGGGGGGGTGTCTGTGTACAAGAGCCACGTGTAGGGGGACAGTTGCTGTGGGGAGGTGTCTGTCCGTCCGTGCTGGCACAGTGGTGGACACTTGGCGCCTTGTTCTGTCCCCACAGCGTTCGAGGACATGCTGGAGAACCCCCTCAACAGTACACAGTGGATGAACGACCCGGAGACCGGGCCCATCATGCTGCAGATCTCCCGCATCTTCCAGACCCTAAACCGCACGTAGCGTCGCCGGTGCCCCCCCCCGGAGTGGTGCCCCTCGGCAGTGTCCCCCCACATCAGTGCCCCCCTGGAGTGGTGCCCGCCACAGCGGTGCCCCCCTGGAGCGGTGCCCCCCACAGCAGTGTCCCCCACAGCGGTGCCCCCCTGGAGCGGTGCCCCCCACAGCAGTGTCCCCCACAGCGGTGCCCGCCACAGCGGTGCCCCTCGGCAGTGCCCCCCCACAGCGGTGCCCCTCGGCAGTGTCCCCCCACAGCGGTGCCCCCCACAGCGGTGCCCCTCGGCAGTGCCCCCCCTCCTGTGGTGGCTGCCGGCGGGTTCAGCCAGCCGGGAGGTCCCAGTGCACTGACGGGCAGTGGGAGACCCCCTCTGGCTCAGCGAGGGAGATGTAGGGAGGGCTGGGCAGGAGGGCTGCCAGACACCGGCTTCCTGGACACTGCCTGCCTGGACTGTCCGAGCCAGGTGGCCGCTTCCACTTTGTAACCTTCCTGCTTGAAAACTTCGGAAAACGATAGTTGTGAGTCTGCAGTGTTAGCACCCGACAGTGTTCACACAGGTGACCCCTCTCCCTGGGAAGCTGGGCGATCACCCTCTCTGAAGAGGATCCCCAGGCTCTGGAACCCCACTTGACCTCACCCCAAGTCAGCGTGTCGTCTGAGCTAAGGCAGGCCACATCCCAGGTGTTGGCACCCACATGTGTTACTGCCCCAGATGTTAGCGGCAGACTAGCGTGTGTGGAGGGGGCTTCCAGGGGTTGAGGGGGGCTCCTGGGACATCTCGTCAATAAACGATGGCTCTTTCGTACTTGTGATGACAGTGGTTCGTGCACAGGACAGGTCCAGCTTTGGTTCTTTGTACGTGAGCACATGTGGTCGTCAGTCAGCAGTTTCACACTTGTCCTTCCACGATGGTGGCGTCACTGTCGGGTGGTGGCAGAGCCCTTCCCTACGCTCTGTGCATCTTGTCTCTCCCACCAGTGGCTTGATTGGGACCATGCCTGCAAGGGAGTAAGGCAGCTTGTTAATGTAAATAAAGGACGTGACCCTCTTGGAGGGGTGTGGGGTTGCATGGTTTCCCTTGGGGTTACATTGTGCCATAAGGTGGGCGTGAAGCATGGCCTTGGGACCAGGCCTGTGCAGAGGCCGAGCTGGGCACTGGCACTGGGCAGGAGTGCCCTGCAGCACCCAGGCATGGGTGAGGGTGGCCGCAGGCAGGGATCCTGGTAGAGGAGTGACTGGGCACTTGGCGATGGTGCTGATGCACTCTTGTCATCATCTGCTGTGGGCTGTACCTGCGTCACTGTGAGTTACAGCAACTTCTCAACACTAGGCAGCCGTGTACCTCTGGAGTGCTGACTGGCCAGGGCGGTGACTGGGCCAGCCCACGAGGAGCGGAGAGGAGGGCAGCTGGGCTGCGCCCCTCAGTTCTCTAGAGACCCCATAATGATGACTGGTCTAAATGCTGGGAACGCTGGACAAGTGATAGCTGGTGACCACTTGGAGAGAGGCCTATGTGACACCTCAGATCCCTTCTCCCTCAGAGTAGACAGGAAGGGACCACCGGCCGTTTCACAGCCCCTCAGCATCAGCCCTGTCCTCCCCTCCCCACACGCCATAGCAGACAGTCATCCACACCACTTAGTGACTGTGGGGACAGGAGGAAGAAGCTGGGGCCGGCCCACCCCGTCCTGGGCCCATGCCGTCCTGGGCCCCCCCAGTCCTGAGCCCACACCGTCCTGGGCCCACGTTGTCCTGAGCCCACCCCGTCCTGGGCCCACGCCGTCCTGGGCCCCCCCAGTCCTGAGCCCACCCAGTCCTGGGCCCACATTGTCCTGAGCCCACGTCATCCTGGGCCCACGCTGTTCTGAGCTCACAGCCGCAGCCCATGTTGGTGCAGCACAGTGAGGGCCCTTTGCCGACCCCCCTTCATCATATATAAGACTCCCCAAAGCTGCGGTCAGGGTTCTCTACTGTGCTGGCGATGATCAAGGCATCTCGTCTTGATGAGGCCCCATCCCCGCTGGTCTTGGCCTGTCAGATCCAGCCCTGCAGCCATGTCCTGCGTTTTCTTCCCAGAGTTTATGGCTGGGATGTCACATTTGGGCCCTGGTGATGGATTGGTTTGTGTGTGTTGTGAGGTATAGTTCCGAAGCCCATCCTTTCCGCATGTGGAGATCCAGTTCCCCGTCTAGTGAACTCGTCATCCTGGCCCAGAAGTGCTGACCAGACGTGTGGCTTTGTCTGCAGGTCTGTCTTTGGCTGCCATACCCACGGCTGACGTTTTGATAACTGGCTTCCCGCCTGCTTTGAAGTCTTAATCCTTTCTCCTTCTTTCAAGATCCTTTTGGCTCCTGGGAGTGCTGTGGTGGTGAGACCGTGGTGGACTGCTCCCGGAAGGCCAGCACTTTGGACCCACCAGCAGCTCCTCAGGAGGAGGGCCCGTCTCCTTCCTTAAAGAGCCATGGCCTCCCTCTGCTCTCAGCCCACAGTGGTCAGAGTTCATATCATGGACACTGCATTGGGACAGATGGGGAGGAACTGTTGGAAAGGAAGATAGGATGAGGAGTTCTGTCTGTGACAACAGTCTGGGTCAGGACTGCATTGCAAAGTGGACTGAGTGCAAGTGAGGGAAGAAAATGTGCAGCAACGAATGAATAAAAAGTTAGGGCGTTGGAGGCCTGAGGGTCGAGGATGGACGGACTGATGGCAGGGGTCTTGGTAGCCCTCAGAGTGGAGGCCCTGTGATGTCATACAAGAGTGAGAATTAGTGTCTCGTTTGAGCTCAGGTTGCTGTGGTGGCGTCGGTCGTGTTGACCCTCTGACCGTTGATGGGGGGTGACTGCGTTTCTCAGGTGCTCACGTTCCTTCAGAGCTCTGGTGACTTAGTGCTGCGGGACCACGCTGCCGACACAAACGTCTGCACTTCAGATCCACAGCTGCTCCGTGGAGAGAGGCGGACAGTCTCCCGTGCGACTTACTGCCTCTGCAGACCGAGGGCCAGCTCTGGGTCAGTTCCTACTTGACTGCACACAACAGCTCAAGTTCTTTTTTTAAATTTTTTTTATTGTATTATTTTTACGTGTACCATCAAATCAGATCTGACTGGTACAGGAGGAGATTGCCCCCTCCTCCAGCAGAGCATCTGGTAGATTTGAACCGTATACCTCTGGGATTGCAGTGCAGCTTCTTGCCACTAGGCAACCAGAGCTCCCTCAAGTTCTTTTTGTAAAAAATATTTTTATTCATTCATTGTTGCACATTTTCCTCCCTACTCCCCCAGTTCACTTCTTTTTAAAAAAATATTGTCTGGTTGTTGCATGTTTCGTCGCCCCAGTCTGCCTTGCTCTGCACCTTCTGGTCTGTGTTCACACAAGCAGTGCCTAATCGTAGGTTCCTTTTAAGCGGTTCTTTTGTTGTTTCTCTAAGCAGAACTCCCCGATGACACTCCCTGAGCCCTTGCGTGTCTCAGGTGCGTTTTGTAATGGTGATGTTCTTCATGTCCTCCTCATCCCCCCCGTTGTCCTCACTGACTGGGGGTTTTCTGTATGGACCCCAGATGACGTCAGCCGTGAGGACGGGCAGCTTTTCTCCCAGCCGCCTGGTTTACACGTCCTCCTCTGGTCCCAGCCCCGTCTTTCCACCTGGGGCAGCAGGCCTGAGCTGAGCAGCACAGGCCTCCCTGTGTCCTCCCCAGGTCCTCCCCAAGTCCTGC